CCTTTTTTATGTTTCTCTTGAGTCATGTGTCTGAATGACAAATTTTCTGCTCAGCTCCGGCTTTTTTTTTTTATCAATAATTCTTAGAAGTCCTCTATTTCATTAAAGATCTATTTTTTTCCTATAGGATTACACTGAGCTTTGCCGGATAGGTTGATTTTTATTGCAATTCTAGATTCTTTGCCTTCTGAAATATTATATTCTAAGTCCTCCACTTCTTCAAAAGGGTGGCTGCTTAATCTTTGCTTTTTCCTTTGCAAGTTCATGGTTGTGGCTCCTTGGTACTTGAATTCTTTCTTTCTGATTGCTTGCCGTATTTTTAACTTGACCTAGGAACTCTGGATTTTAGTTAAAATATTCCTGGGATTTTCCATTTTGGGGTTTCTTACAGCTGGTGACTGGTGCATTCTTTCAATTTTTGTTTGGCTCTCTGGTTCTAAGAGATCTGGGAAGTTTTCTTTTATAACTTCTTGAAATATGATACCTAGGCTTATTTCTCCTCAATCTGTTTTCCAGGTGTTTTCTATGGGAGATTTCACATTTTCCTCTATATTTCTCACTTTTGACTTGTTTTACAATTAAAAATTTTTTTTCATGAAGTTATTAGCTTCCATTTGGCCAATTCTAATTTTTTTTTGGGGGGTAATGAGAGTTAAGTGACTTGCCTAGAGTCACACAGCTAGTAAGTGTTATGTGTCTGAGGCTGGATTTGAACTCAGGTCCTCCTGAATCCAGGGCCAGTGCTCTATCCACTGCACCACCCAGCTGCCCTCCAATTCTAATTTTCAAGGAGTTATTTTCTTCATTAACCCATTGTACCTCTTTTCCCAAGCTGTTAATTCTTTTTTCATGTCTTTCTTCCTTAGCTCTTGCTTCTTTTTCCATTTTTCCTCCACCATTTTAAATTTTTTAAAAAATAATATTTTAGCCCTTTCTTTATCTCTTTTAGGATACTCTTCTTTGTAGTTATTTTTGAGTTATTCTCTTCTTCTAGGTTTGTGTTTTGAACTTCCATGGCACCACATTAGCTCTTAATGGTGGCACTCTTTTTTTTTTTTTTGGTCTAGCCTCACTTCTTGACTTTGGGCTTTATGTTAGTGCTACGCTCTGCATAATTCTGGGAAGGATGTCTGATCTGGGCTTCTGTCTTTTTACAGCTTAGGCTGGGGGCCTGAAAGCTTTCAGAGATCCCCAAATGGGCTGGTATGTTCACTGTCCTCCTGGTCTGAACTCTGCCAATTCCTGACCCAGGCTTGGATCTGTCATCTTGTCTTTGGTTTTAAATTTCTGTAGATTGCTGCTGGAGCCAGTCAATTAGCCTGCTGGAAGACTTTGCAGGTTCAGACATTGAACTGCTGACACCCCCCCCCCCCTTTGGTCTCCTGCCCTGACTATTCTAATGTAGATTTACCAGGAATCAGAGCTTCCAGATAGTACCTACTTCTATAACCCAACACTATTTCAGAGATAATCATCACCCTGAATCTTTCTGCTGGGGCGTTTCCTGCTTCAGTGCTCTGTCTTAGCCCATTTTCAGTCCCTGGATGGTGGAATGATCCACACCATGTATGTTCCTGGCCAATGTCCACATAACTCTTTCTCTCCCTTAGTCACACAGAGCTGGAAAAATGACTCATTATGACTTTTTCTTGGCTTTCCTAAATGGAATTGGTCTCATGCATTTTCTAGGTAGTTATAGAGAAGAGATAGTGGGTAGTTAGGCTATAGTGCTTCTCACTCCACCATCTTGACTCCCACCAGTTCCATTTCCACAGTCCATCTAATGTCCATTTCTTCACCATTCAGTAAGAAGACAGAAACAGAGAATACTTGCAGGTTCACCAAACATCCCTGTGTTCATGCTTCCAGGACTGGTCCGAAATTGGTCAGTCCCTAGTTACATGTTTATTTCATTCCTTACAATATGTTCCAGAATTTTGTCAAGAATAAACATCAAACTCATGGTCCCAGAGTTTGTAGACACCAGTTTCTCCCCTTTGTCTAAAGTTGGTGCAATGTTTACCACTCTCTCTAGTCAGGTCTCTCCTCCCCAATTCTCCATGACCTTTCAAGGACCACTGACCAATCCCACTTGCAGCATAGCCCTGAAGAGTTTGTGATGTTATAGAATCTCAGAACCTCATAGATAGAAAGGAAAGGCCCCTAGGGGCCAGATAGTCCAGCCTATGCCTGAGCAACAAAAATAAGAATAATGAGCATGTATAGAATGTTTTAAGGTTTATAAAGCACTCTCCCCACATTAACTCATTTAATTCTTACAATGACCCTGGGAGGTATGGGCTATGAGCACATCATCCCCAATTTTCAGATGAGACAACTGAGGAATCTTGTCTAAAATATTCCTGATGAGTAGTCATTCAACCTCTTCTGGAGAGTGCCAATGAGGAGGAACCCAACCTCCAAGGCAGCGTTTCCAGTTTGGGACATCTGTAGAAGAGACAGATAGATAGATGAAAGAAAGAAAGAAAGGAAGGAAGGAAGGAAGAAAGGAAGGAATGAAGAAAGAAAGAAAGAAAGAAAGAAAGAAAGAAAGAAAGAAAGAAAGAAAGAAAGAAAGAAAGAAAGAAAGAAAGAAAGAAAGAAGAAAAAGAAGAGAGGAAGGAAAGAAAGAAAGAAAGAAGGAAGGAAGGAAGGAAGGAAGAGGAAGGAAGGAGAAGAAAGAAAGAAAGAAAGAAAGAAAGAAAAAGAAAGAAAGAAAGAAAGAAAGAAAAGTAGATAGAAAAGTAGAAAGAAAGAAAGAGAAAGAAAGAGAAATAGATAGAGCATTATAATTCTTTTATAGATGATGAAACCAAGGCTTGGAGGGATTTAGTGAGTTTTACTCATGGTCACCTAGCTAGTCTCAGAAGCAGCATCTGAACCCAGGTCTCCCCTGACTCCAGGTCAGTGCTCATTCCACTCTGTTGGAGTAAATATCTCTTGCTGTCCAAAAGTATAAAAAGAGAAAATAAGCACCCTGGCCTACAAATGACTCTTAAGATTGTACTTCCTTCCCTTTTCCAGTCTCAGGAGATGCAGCAATTCAATGGGTTAGCTATTAACTGTTAATGGGTTTTTGTTGGTGGTGGTTCAGATTTTCTTCCTGTACTTGGAGTTTAAGAAGCCTGATTAGTGCAGGGTGGTGGTGGTGCAGGTGGTGGATTAATAGCCCTTTCAGCAAACAAATGGAGACTTTAGGGGAAGGAGTTTAGTTAATAGCTAATCCATTAAATTGGTATAGCTCCTCTCTTCCCCAAACTAAGCACACCATCTCCCTATTTCCCAGACCTTAGTAAAAGTCTATCACAAATGACCAATGGCAGAAGGTAAGGGCTAGGCCTGATGGTGAGTAGATGGGCCTGGTGGTTGGCTAGGAGTAGAAGAAGTAGTGAACTGTGGCTGCTTCTGTAGCCAAGCCGAGCTAGTGACCAAATGGGAAGAATGGAGGCTGGGAAGGATCCCACTGTTGTCTTATCTCATGGGAGTTTTCAAGGCTAGTCTGTTTTGGGCTGGGGCAGGGAAGGAAGGTCAGCCCTGCCTCAGTGAGCAGCCAGCGAGCTGGCTTCTTCAGTGCATCCATCTGGTGTCCCTGTAGGGGCCATGTCACAGCCCACCTGGCTTTTAGGGGAGAGGAGGACACCCCAGGGGGATGCAGTAACCCTGGGCCCAGTGGCAGCCTGAGATTAAGGGGCAGGGGCTCCCCACAATGGGCCTGTGGAAAGAGGAGGGAGAGAGAAGACAGCACTTGTACCTTAATAAAGGCCTTAACTTTGTGTCTGCAATCCTGGGGACACTGGTCTTCCCTCCAGGTTGTATTCTCCACCTTATCAAACTTTTCTGGGCCCAGACCCAAGGGGTTAGGAAAGAAATCCAGGCTGAAAGTGTGGTTCCCAGGCAGGGGAAGATGCTAGAGGTGAGGAGGCAGCTCAGGGGTGGACAAGGGAGGGGACAGAGCTACAGCAGCAGTTCCTGCATGAGGGCTATGCCTAAGAGGCCATGCTGCCACCTCCTCCATCTTGGAGACCTTTATTTTCCAGGGTGTTTGGCCCTCCCAAGCTAGTTGGGGTGTGGGGGTGGGGGATGGGGCAGGGGGCAAGCTGGGAGGCAGGTAGCACCTGGAAGGCCTGGAAACTTCATCCCTGCTGAACAAGGATCGTGAGTCATGCCATCAGAGGTTGCCACTCTGCAAGGGGGATCCATCTATAGCTGTCCAAGTTGGCTGGAAGTCAAGAGGCCTGAGTCTTGGTTCCAATTAGGACACTCATCTTGGGCCTCTAGAAAAGGATGGGGCTAGGCCAGTTGGCCTCTAAGGCCCATTCCGTGAGATTTGGGATCTACTGAACTCTGTCCCAGGTCAGCCTCAGTTTCAGTAAGAGTCCAACGAACCTTCCCGTGTGACCTTTTGAGAAATCACTTCCTCTGGAGGACATGTACTGGGTGAGCCCTAAGGCCCCCTCCAGCTTTAACATGAGATTAGGGAAGAGGGTGTGACTTCAGTCTCTCTTTGCATTCCTTCCCCCAGAAGTATCTATCTGTTCATTGATAGGGCTGATTTTCCACCACTGAAAGTACAAAGACTTATTGGATGTCAAATATGAGGGGGAAAGCTAATCCCTAACACTTACAGTTTTTTAAGGTTTGCACAATTCACCACAAGTCACCTTATTTGGTCCTCACAATAATGCTATGAAGTAGCTGCTGTTATTGGCAGAGAGAAGCACTTGTTCTAAGGCAGGATTCAAAGCTAAGTCCTGCGGACTCCAAGTTCAACACTCTAAGCAAGTCAGTTGAAATCAGAAATGGTCACATGACCCTGGAAGAGGGTGAGGGGGACCTCTCTCAGGTCCTCCTGGAATCTCTCTTTCATGACTCTGGGAGGTGTCTGCTGCATCCTTCCCCAAACCAAAGGGGATGTTTTGTTGTTTGCCCTAGATGCCCAAATGCTCCAGGATGGCTTCCCCCCACAGGGCCTTCAGTGTGGCGGGGCAGCAGCAGCAGGAGGAATGGACATCTCTGCCTTCCTGTCTCCGTTCTTATGGCGATGCTCCTCAATGCTGCCCTAGGTGTAGTCTGCAGGCAGAAGTCCTCCAGATGGTCAGTTTATGGGCAGCTCCACTACGCCCCAGTGGCAAGTGTGGCTGAGCTGGGGCTACTCCCTGAGGAGGGCCCTCCTCTGAGACTGCTTTCTTTTCTTCTCTCCCAAGTCGGTGACCTCCTGGGTCACTGAACCAAAACATTCCCAAAGCTACCAGAATGTGTTTCCAAGAGGCTTTCTGGGAAGAGGCCCCAACTTAGCGGGGAGTTAGCAGAGCCCGTCCCTGAGGGAGGACAACAACCTCTGTGTTGCAATGATTTCAACATAAACTGTTTGGCTAAGCTGGGGGTGGGGGGTGGAGCTGGCAGGGAGTGGATGGGGGTGTTCGTGCTCTCTGAATACCGAAAATTGTGTAGCACCAGGAATCTAGCCATGGCAACTGAGCGGAGCAATGAGGCTACTCTTTTGTGGTGATTAAAAAAAACCCAGAAAAGACCAGAGGAAGAGGGAGAGGTAGAGAAAGACAGAGAGAGAAAGGGAGGAGGAAGAAGACCGGGGTGGAGAGGATTTATAATCAGTCTCTGCAACCCTGGTGACAGCTCCCTCGGCAGCCAGAGAGGTGGTAGGCAGCTCAGAATGGAGCTAGCTGCGATCCTCCTGCTTGTGGCCATCCAGCTGAATGTCCAGGTGGTGTCTCAGGTGAAGGATGTTGCCTGCGATGACAATGATGTCTTCCAAGCTGTGGATGTAGCGCTGACGAAATACAACAACCAAAAGTCATCGGGCCCCCAGTTTGTCCTGTACCGAATAATTACAGCCTCGCTGACGGTGAGTGAGTGACCTTTGCGGCCACATCCTGGGCTCTGCTCGCTGATTGTCCTGCGCCGGTAAGCCAATGCCCGGGGGCTCAGTTACCGCCCCTCTGGGGCACCTCCATGCCTCGTGCCTCAGAGCTCCTCAAAGGTACCCATGGCCTCGAGACCCACTCCTCTCCTTTTTGTTGTGGGCATCACCATCCCTCCGTGCACCCAAGGGTAGAAGCTGGCCGTTATTTTCAGCTCCCCCCACATGGGTAAGCCGTTGCCAGGTCTTGATTCTGCCGCCATCATGCATCGAGTCCATCCCTCTCTTTCCACTCACATGGCTACCAGCTGACTGCAGTCCCATATCAGCTCTTTGACAGACTGTTGTCAAAGCTACCTACTTGGAATCCTGACTTTCCTCTTCTTTCCTCTCCTGTGTGTCCTCTACCCTGCTACCAAAATTCTAATCCTGGCACTTCCCGCCTAAAAGAGTTTTACTAGCTTCCTGTTGCCTCTAAGATGAAATAGAAACTCTTCTGACTGGCATGAAAGCCTCTTCACAACCTAGTTCCAGTCTACCTTTCCAAGTACATTGTATATTATTCCTTTTTCTACCCTCAGTGGTCCAGCCAGACTGTCCTACTTGGCTGTTTATCTGAACTTGGCATATCATCCTACTTCCGTGACTTTGTACAGGCTGTTTCTCCTGGAATTTCTGGAGTGCTCAGCCTCACCCCTGCCTATCAGAACCCCAAGCTTACTTTCAGGCTTAGCCCATCTGCCACCTCCTATAGGAAGCTTTTCTGGGTCCCCCTAGTTGTTAGTCCTAACACCCACCCCCCAGCCCCATGATTATGTATAGGTTATCTGTTTATTCAATACACCTTCCTAGGAGTGTGTAAACTCCTCGAAGTCAGAGACAACTTTCCATTTTGTCTTTGAATACCCAGAACATAGCCTCATATATAGTAGTCATTTCATAAATGCTTATTAGATTGGATTGGATCAGACTGGATTGGATTACCATACTGTAGACATCATATGGTAGCTATACTTTTAAAAATATTTATTTTTTATTTATTTCATTCAATATTTCCCAATTACATGTAAAATTTTTAACAATCATTTTGAAAATTTTGAGTTCCAGATTCTCTCCCTCCCTCCTACCCCTCCCCTCTCCTTAAGTGGGCAAGCAATTTGATGTTGATTATACATGTGGTCACGGAAAATATATTTCCATATTAACCATGTTGCAAAAGAAAACACAAACAAAATAAAACAAGAAAAATAAATGAAGGTTAAAAAAGCATGTTTCAATCTGTTTTCAGAATTCACCAGTTCTTTCTCTGGAGCTAGACAGCATTTTTTTTTTATTATAGGGCCTTTGGAATTATCTTTAATCATTGTCTTGATCAGAGTAGCTAAGTCTTTTACAGTTGATCATCATTACGGTATTGCAGTTACTGTGTACAATACTCTCCTAGTTTTGTTCACTTCACTTTGCACACATTCCTGCCCAAGTTTTTCTGAAATCTGCCTGCTTATCATTATAGCACAATAGTATTCCATCACAATCATATACCACAACTTGTTCAGCCATTCTGCAATTGATGGATATCTCCTTGATTTCCAATTCTTTTCCACCACAAAAAGAGCTGCTATAAATATTTTCTCTTTATGGATACTTTCCCTTTTCCTTTAAAAAAATCTCTTTGACTTGTGATGGAAAATGCTATCCACATCCAGAGAAAGAACTATGAAATCTGAATCCAGATCAAAGCATACAATTTTCTCTTTTTTTTCTTTGTCATGGTTTTTCCCTTTCGTTCTTATTTATTCTTTTCACAACATGACTAAGGTGGAAATATGTTTAACATGAATGTACATGTGTAGCCTATATCATTGCATGATGTCTTGGGGAGGGAGAAGGGAGGGAGGGAGGGAGAAAATTTGGAACTCAAAATCTTATGAAGGTGAATGTTGAAAACTAAAAGCAAATAAATAAAAAGCAAAACAATGAAAACATCTCTTTGGTTTGGCGCTAATATCTAATCCAGGAAGAGCTAAAACAGGGAAAGAAAACTATAAAGCAACATCCTTAATGAATATTGTTGCAAAAATTTAAATAAAATGCTAGCAAAAAGAATGTAGGGCTGGTTCAAGATTAAGAAAACCATCAGCATAATTGATAATATAAATAAAAAAACCCCAACAGAAATCTCATATGATTATCTCATTAAGTGCAGGAAGATTTTTGACAAAATACAGCACCCATTCCTATTAAAAACACTAAATAGCATAGGAATAAAGGGAGCTTTCCTTAAAAAATAATAGTACCTATCAAAAACCATCAACAAGCATTATCTATAATGAGGATAAGCTAGAAGCCCTTCCCAGTAGGATCAGGGGTGAAACAAGGATGCTCATTATCACCAGTATTATTCAATATTGTACTAGGATGTTAGCTTTGGCAATAAGACAGGAAAAAGAAATTGAAGGAATTAGACTAGGCAATATGGAAACATAGCTATCGCTCTTTGCAGATGGTATGATGATATACTTAGAGAATCCTAGAGAATAAATTAAAAAAAACTGCTTGAAATAATTAACAACTTCAGCAAAAGTTGCAAGATGTAAGACAAATCCACATAAATCATCAACTTTTATATATATTACCAACAAAGTCCAGCAGCAAGAGTTAAAGAAATTCCATTTAAAATAATGGTAGACAATAAAAAATATCTGGGAGTCTACCTGCCAAGACAAACCCAGGAACTATATGAACACAACTGCAAAACACTTTTTACACAAATAGAGTAGGATCTAAACAATTGGAAAAATATCAGTTGCTCAGGGTAGGCTGAGTCAATATAATAGTAATGACAATTCCAGTCAAATTAAAATACTTATTCAGTGCCCTAACAGTCAAACAACCAAAATATTTTATAGAGCTAGAAAAAAATAACAAAATTCATCTGGAAAAAATAAAAGTTCAAGAATATCAAGGGAATTAATGAAAAAAAAATGCAAAGGAAGGTGGCCTAGCCATCTCAGATCTCAAATTATATTATAAAGTGGTAATCATTAGAACTCTCTGGTACTGGCTAAGAAATTGAGTGGTGGATCAGTGGAGTAGATTAGGTACACAAAACACAGTAATCAATGACCAGAGAAACCTAGTGTTTAATGAACCCAAAGACCCCAGCTTCTGGGATAAGAACTCACTGTCTGACAAAAATTGCTGGGAAAACTGGAAAAGAGTGTGGCAGAAAGGAGAACATCTTATGCTGTATACTAAGATAAGCTCAAAATGGGCACAGAATGTGATATAAAGAGTGCTACTATAAGCAAGTTAGGAGCGCAAAGAATAGTTTACCTGTCAGAGCTATAGAGAAGGAAAGAATTCAAAACCAAACAAGAGATAGAGAGCATTATGAAATGTAAAATGAATGATTTTGACTATATTAAATTAAAAGGGTTTTGCACAAACAAAACTAGTGCAACCGAGATTAGAAGGGAGGCAGGAAGCTGGGGAACAATCTTTACCACCAGTGTTTCTGATAAAGGCCTCATTTCTCAAACATACAGAGAACGGAGTCAGATTTATAAGGACACAAGGCACTCTCCAATTGATAAATGATCAAAGGATATGAACAGGCAGTTTTCAGAAAAAGAAATCAAAGTTATATATAGTCATATGAAGAAAATGTTCTAAATCACTACTGATTAGAGAAATGCAAATTAAAATAACTCTGAGGCACCACCTCACACCTATCATATTGGCACAACAGAAAAAGAACATGATAAATGTTGGAGAGAATGTAGGAAAATTGGGACACTGATGCACTGTTGGTGGAGTTCTCATTTTCCTTTTCTGTCATGTTAGCCAATCTGACAGGTGTCATGTGGTGCCTCAGAGTAGTTTTAATTTGCATTTCTATAATCAATAGTGATTTATAGCATTTTTTCATGTCACTATTGATAACTTTTATTTCTTCTTCTGAAAACTGCCTGTTCATACCATTTGACAATTTATCAACTGAGGAATGGCTCTTATTTTCTATAAATTTGACTCAGTTCTCTATCTATTTGAGAAATGAGGCCTTAGAGAAACTTGCTATAAATTTTTTTTTCTCCCAGTTTACCATTTTGCTTTAAAATTTGGCTGGATTAGTGTTGTTTGTGAAAAAGTCTATTTATTTCATGTAATCAAATTTGTCTATCTTACTTTGTGTAATCCTTTCTACCTATTGTTTGGTCATAAATTCTTCCTTTATCCATAGATCTGACAGGTATGTTTTTTTTCCATGCTCCCCTAATTTACTTATGATATCACCCTTTATGTACAAATCATTTATCCATTTTGACCTTATTTTGTATTTGGTGTGAGATGTTGATCTATGCCTAATTTCTGCCGAACTGCTTTCCAGTTTTCCCAGCAATTTTTGTCAAATGGTAAATTCTTACCTCCAAAGCTTGGGTCTTTGGGTTTTTCAAACACTAGAATATTATGATGATTTACTACTGTGCCTTGCGTACCTGATATATTCCACTGATACACCACTCTATTTCTTAGCCAGCACCAGATTGTTTTCCTGATCTTCACTTTATAATATAGACCAAAATCTGAAACAGCTAGGCTACCTTCCTTCACATTTTGTTTTCAGTGACTCACTTGATAGTCTTGACTTTTTGTTCTTCCAGATGAATTCTGTTACTATTCTTTTTTTAGTTCTATAAAATAATCCTTTCATAGTTTGATTGGTATGGTCCTGAATAAGTAAACTAACTTGGGTAGAATTGTCATTTTTATTATATTTGTTCAGCCTACCTATGAGCAATTAATATTTCTACAATTACTTAGATTTGTTGTTATTTCTGTGAAGTGTTTTATAATTTTGTCCATATAATCTCTGGGTTTGTCTTGGCAGGTAGATTCCCAAGTATTTCCACTTTGGTGTTTAATTGGTAATTTTTAATTTGTTCTTTTTCTTGTTTCTTAATTGCATGCCCAATTCGTTGATCTGCTCTTTCTCTCTTTTATTGATGTACATATTTAGAGATATAAATTTTTCCCTAAGTACTTCTTTGGCTGCATCTCACAAATTTTGGGATATTGTCTCATTGTTGTCATTCTCATTAATGAAATCATTAATTGTTTCTATGATTTATTCTTCGACCATTTTTAGGATTAGATTATTTAGTCACCGAAGGAATAACACTTTCCTTGCAAAATGTAAGAAGGCTTCTTGTGCAAAGATCCATGTTTCTTTATCCTAATATGTACTTGCATATTTTATAGAATGTCTAGATAAAAGCTGGAAGGAATCTTAGAGGGCATCTATTTCAAACTGACTTCCATGTGATGCATGATGAAACTGTGACCCAAAGACAGGAGGTGACTTCCCCAAAGTCACAGAGGCAAGATTTGAATCTAGTTCCTTTGACTCTGGGTCAACTCAATTACAAACAAAACAACAAAAAAACTGTTAAGAAACTCTTGTGTGTAAAGCATTGCCCAAGTACTGGGGATTCAAATAAAAAACCAACAATCCTTGGCCTTGCTGAGATTGTATTGTCCTAGAGAATCAATTTGGATGCCTTTCACGTCTCTTTCTTGGGGCCAAGCTTGATCATTCAAATTTATCAACACTCAGTTTCAATTGTTTTGTTGTTGAATAAATTAAATTTTTTGGTATAAACATACTTTCTGACCTTGTGTCCATTGTGTTAGATAATGTTACTTAATTGAATGGAAAAACAGAAGAGGCTTCTGAACTAATTTCATAAAAAGAAAAAGAGCACAACTTAGTCATGCCAATTCCATGTAGTTTTCTTGGACAAACATGAACATGATGCCAGAGGAGAAATAACTATGAGCTGCTGTGAGCTTTTCAAGACTAATCAAACTCCTGGAGGTTATATACCCTGGACATCAAAAGCAAGAGTCAGTTTTATTTAAAAAAAAACTATCTAAATTATTGTTTTGGCACCACCTTTTTTTTTAATAAGCATGCCTCAGGTGGTTCTACCAGATTTTAGTTGCCAGTCCATTGCCATTGCATCTATAAGTAAATCCTTGGCTAGCCTTTGTTTCACAAATTGTGTGATAATGGATGGAACCAAAATGATGCTTTATTGATGTTGGCAAATGGAGAGAACCAGTGACTTGTCCCATGTCATGCAGCCAGAGCATGGGACAGTTACTCTAGAGTTACAGAGTCACAGAATGTAGAGCTGAAAGAGGACTTAGAGACATCTAGAGTCACCCCATCATTGAGAGATGAAACTGATGCCTGAGAGAGGGGAACATTGTTTCTGAAGGTCATTGAACTAAAAAGGGACAGCGTGAAGGTTGGAATCCTGGTGCTCTGATTCCCTGTCCAAGGTCTTCTCATCACTTCAAACAGCTTCTTAAAAAGATATTTTAAAAGCCATTTTTAGAATGTCTTCCCTCACCCTCCAACACACACTAAGAATGCTTCATCAGAGAGTACATCTTCACAGTCACCCAAATGACTGAGACATGGAGAGAATCCAAGGTCCCACTTTATTTATCAATCATTGATTTATTTTTTAAAATTAAAAAATATTTCATTTTTCTAATTGGCAAATATTTCATTTCTTTCCTTCCCACCTCCATCACCATTGGGAGAAAAAAGAAAAACAAAAACAAAACCCTTGTAACAAATATTCATAGTTAAGCCAAATAATAGCATGAGACTTTTAAATCAAATGTGATCAAGGGAATTAATTACAGGGGCAGGATTCATCAGGTGGTGGTACAGGGAGTACAAATGAGTCAGTGTGATGCAATGAGATGACTGCTGTGCTGTGAGTGATGGGTACTGGAATTCTAGACCTTGCTCAAATAATCCCTTCCATTTTCTGTACCTCAATTTCTCCAGCTACTAAATGAGATGGTTGAATTATCTGCTTTCTAATTTGATTCAACCAGCTTTTATTAGGTGGTTGCTTTGGGCCAGGGACTGCGCAAGGTGCTGGAGATCCAGAGCCAGAAATGAAATGGTCCCTGCCCTCTGGGACCTTATATTCTGCTGAGGGGAAACAATGTGGGGACAGCTAATACAAGGAACTGAGGAGGGTAGTGGATTAAGGGATTGGGATGGAGTTTTCATGTTCTATGAATCTAAGACCAGCCAAGACGATCCAACCAAACTTGCAGCAGATGTGCGGTGAGACCTTCCTAATGAAGCCCTGGGGTTGGGGGCTCTCCCAGCTTTGGCCTTTTGTTCTACCCCAACACAAAGTCCTTTTGCCATTTCCTGTAGGATTCCAGTGAGCGCACCTTCACTATAACCTATGAAATCCGAGAAAGCAACTGCATGATCGAGACAGGCAAAAACTGGAAAGAATGTAGCTACAAAGATTCTGCAGAATGGGTAAAGTGTTTTACTCTCTATGCTTCTTTTCCCTTTGCAATTTACACTTTGGTAGGAGAAAGGAAAAAAAAATCCTTCTGCTTGGCCTTTCAGGATCCAACAGAAGGAGGAAAGACTTAAAAAGTATTCTGGTGGTCTATTTTCAAAGTTAAATGGAGTTTTTTCTCTGAGATCAAATGAATATGATGGCTTTTGTTTTATACCATAGCTTTAGGCAAGGATGAAGGGGAAGTGGTGAAGGAGTCAATGTTACAACAATGAGGAAGGCAGGAGATTGAGCTTAGAGACCAGGAAATCGGTGGCTGCTGCCTAAAGGCCTGATGAGGGCGCCAGCTTCTTTCCTTTGCTGGGGATATCTGCAGAGCTCAGAGAAAAGCTAAAAAGTAAGACTTTGGAACTAGATTTCTTCCTGGTCTACTGTCTTCTTAGTAGGCCTTGCCGAGGTTGAGTTCCATTGGCATAACCTACAAGAACCCTAAATTACTAAGCCACTAAGATTGAATGGAGAAGCAAGAGGAGAGTCTAACAGGTGGAGTCCTAAGGTAGCCCATATCCTGGTTAAGGGGAAATACTTCCAGAGCTTGGAAGAATAAAGCTCAGAAGTTTATCATTTATAGTAGCTTTCATTCAATACCTCCTCATGATAGAGCAGGATAAGCCCTGGCTCTGGAGTGAGGATCCAGGTTCAAGGCCCCATTATGAAACTTACTGCCATATCTTTGACTTAATTCAATTACCATCTGTATACAGATGACTCCCAGATTTATATTTCCAGCTTGAGTCTCTCCTCTGAGCCACAATCCTGCATCACTGATTGTCTATTGGATACTTCAAACTGGTTTTCCCAGAGACACCTCAAACTTAACATGTCCCAAAATCAAACTCATCAACTCTTCCTTAAAGCCTTCCTTATTTCTAAGACATCAAGTCTCCAAGCTTCATAACTTTGGCATTATCCTTGACTCCTCATTGTCCCCTGTTGCCAGACCTTGTTTCTCACTCCTCAACATCTTTTCCATCTGATCCCTTATCTCTGCTCACTCAATTGCCCCCTTCATTCAGAGCTTCCTTATTTCTGGCCTAAATGATTACTTCTTAATTGGCCTCCCTGCCTCAAGTCTCCCACCACTCCAGTCCATCCAATACATTGCTGGCAGTTATCTTCCTTAAGTCCAAATATGAGTATGGTACTCCCTCCCTCAATCCATGGCCAAAAGATTCTTCTTAATGAAGTGGGTTTCTAAATCTGTGGCTGAAGATTCATGGTCCCTTCTTTGTGTTTAGAAGCAGGGAGAATGCACAGCCATAGTGAAGAGTCAGAATGGAAAAGAATTCAAAGTCATTGAACAGAATTGCCACATCATTCCAGGTATGTGATTAGTCCAACTGTTCCACACAGGGCCAATATCACTCTTCTTTATATCCCTCTGCATTAGTGGAGTGCATTGAGGCAATGAGGTGACACAGTGGATAGAGTGCCGGGCCTGGAGTCAGGAAGGAATGACTTTTTTTTTAAATGTACACAAACAAAACCAATGCAGCTAAAATTAGAAGGAAAGTGGGAAACTTGGAAAAAATCTTTGCAATAAATTTCTCTGATAAAGATCTTATTTCTAAAATGTTTAGGAAACTGATACAAATTTAAAAGAATAAGAGCCATCCCCCCAATTGATAAATGGTCAAAAAGGTATGAATAGGCCGTTTCAGAGGAATAAATCTAAGCTATTAATAGAGATATGAAAAATACTCTAAATCACTAGTGATTAGAGAAAAGCAAATTAAAACAACTCTGAAGGACTACTTCACACCCATTAGAGTGGCTAAGATAACAAAAAAGGAAAATGACAAATGCTGAAGGGGATGTGGGAAGATAAGTACACAAATGCATTCTTGGTGGAGCTAGGAAGTAGCTCGACCATTGTGGAAAGTAATTTAAAGCTATGTCCCCAAAGCCATTAAACTGTGCATACCTTAACCTAGTGATACAGTTGAAAGAGGAAAGTGATCCACATGTACAAAAATACTTATCACAGCTCTTTTTGTGGTGGCAATGAATTGGAAATTAAGGGGATGCCCACCCATTGGGGAATGACTGAACAAGTTGTGGTTTATGTTTGTGATGGAATACTATTGTGCTATAAGAAATGATAAAGGCGATGTTTAAAAAACATCTGGGAAGACCTGCTTGAACAAAGTGAAGCAAGCAGAACCAGGAAAGCAAATTCAGCAGTTTGGTGATTTTCTCCAGCTTCACTGAGTAGCACATGTGTAGGAGTGGAGACAATAGATGGTGGGGGCAAGCCAAGACTGAGGCTTGGCAGGGCAAGATTGACAATACGATGAGGAAGCAAAAGACTCAATAAAAGAAGGCAACATAGAGTTCAGCTGGTTCAACAAAGGGCAAAGATGAGCAAAGGAAGTGAGTGTAGCTAGAGCAGCAATGATGGCTTGGGAGAGAATTGAGGGGTTGAGGACTTGGGGGTCACAGTGTGGATGAAAAACAGAATTTGTAGCTGCAAGACAAAGAAAGAGGTGGGATAATAGTAGATTGTGATCAAATAAGGCAATTTCAGAGTTCCTAAGCATGCAAGTAGTACATTTGTGGGTAATGACAAGATCAAGGGTATAACTATCTCTGTGTGTGGCCAAAGCAGGGTCGATTACTAGGTCATGTGGAATGAGTCACATACTATGATGTTGGAGTGTTTGAGGGGTTATTAATATGTGTGTTAAAGTTACCTAGTGTTAGGTCAGGAATTAGGGTAAGGGAAATATTGTGAGCCAAGCATTGAACTCATTGAACTTATTGAGATAAGAAGGGTAGCATATCCTGGAGATCAGTGGACAACAGCTACCAAATTTGAATTGGGTGCTAGATATGAACTGAGTAGACCTCAAAGGAGGAGAGATTACTGAATGATAGAGGTAGAAAAAGAATCTGGAAGTGGCAATGGGGAGCAAAGAATAGCTCTCCTCCCCCTTTTTGCCCAGTGAACTGGAGAAATGAGTGAAAATGGAGCCAGTGCATTTTTAAAAAAATAATTACAGCTTTGTAGTTTAGTTCAAAATCTGGGAGGTAGTTGCCCTTCCTTCAAACTTTTTTTTTTTCATTAATTGCTTATTCTTGAACTTTTTTTCCCCCACTGAATGAATTTTGTCATAATTTTTTCTAGTTCTAGAAAGGAATTCCTTGGTAGTTCAATTCATATGGCACTGAATAAATAAATTAATTTAGGTAGTATTGTCATTTTCATCATGTTGGCTTGGTCTACTCATGAACAATTAACATCTCTCCACTTTTTTAGATCTGTATTTATTTGTGTGAAGAGTATTTTGTAATTGTATTCAGATAGTTCCTTAGTGTGTCTTGGCAGTAGAGTCCCAAGTATTTTATACTGTCTGCAATTATTTTAAAGGGTATTTCTCTTTCTGTCTCTTCCTGCTGGGTTTTGTTGATAATATAGAGAAATGCTGCAACTTTGATAAAATGTTTAATTTTTTCCACCAGTTTTTCAGTTGACTCTCTAGGGTTCTCTCAGTAAGCCACAGCATCCTTTGCAAAAGTGATGATTTTGTCTATGCTTATTCTTTCTTTTTCTTGTCTTATTGGTATAGCTAGAATTTCTAGAACTATATTGAACAGTAATGGTGATAATGGGCCACCCTTACTTCACCTTTGATCTTATCAGAAAAGCTTCTAGTTTATTCCCATTACAGATAAGGCTCACTCTTAGTTTTAGATAGGTACTACTTATCAGTTTAAGACAAGCTCCATTTATTCCTTTGCTTTCTAGTGTTTTTTTTTCTCTTTAAACAGAAATGGATATTTAACTTGTCAAAAGTTTTTCCTTATTTAGTGATATAATTGTATGATTTTTCTTGTTTCTATTGTTACTATGGTCAGTGAAATTTATAGTTTTCCAAATAATGAATCAGCTCTGCATTTCCAAGATAAACCTGTTCTGGTCATATTGTATAATCTTTAATTTTTGAGAAAATATTCATTGGGGAAATTGGTATAGAGTTTTCTTTCTCTGGCTTGACTCCTCCTAGCTTAAGTATTAAGACTATATTTCTGTCATAGGAAAAATTTGACAAGACCTTTTCTTTTCCTATTTTTTTTCAAATAGTAGTATTGGAATTAATTGTTCTTTAATCGTTTGATAGAGTTCTCTTGCCTATCCATTTGGTTCTTTGTGTTTTCTTTGGGAGTTCATTTATGATTTATTCAATCTCTTTTTATAAAATAAGGTTATTTAAGTCTTTTATTTTCTGTTCTGTTAACCTGAAAATTTCATATATTTAAAAAATATTCATCAATTTCACTTATAATGTCTGTTTTATTGACATATAACTAAGCAAAATCGTTCCTAATAATTTTTCTTTATTCTTATTTGGTTACAAATTTACCTTTTTATTTTTGATACTGGTAATTTGGGTTTTTTTTTAACTTTTTAAAAAACAAAGTTAACTAATAGCTTATTCACTTGTTGAGCTTTATTTCTTCCCCCAGTAAAACAACTTCTAGCTTAGATTCTTAAAATCTAGCCACGGCTTAGATTCTTATAATCTAGCCATGGCTGGGGTTCCTAAAATCTAGCTACTGCTGGGATTCTTATAATCTAGCTACTGCTGGGATTCTTATAATCTAGCCAATAGCTCACTAGTGTTCAGACTCCTTAAGAGTCTGCCCAATATGATGGATATTCTAATAAACCTTATCTTCAGCCAAAAGAAGGGTTGGGTTGAATTCTTTTAGACAGGACTCATGTGTTGTGATTTTGGGGTCCCATAACCCCTAAATTGCATCATTTTGGTATGGGGAAATTGCCAAACCCCAAGCTCTTCTCCAGACAAGACTGGAAGGTATGTAAGTCTCCCCCCTCCCCTCTTTTCTTGCTCTGTAGTTGGGGTCGCTCTTCAAGCACCAAGGCTTGGAGGTGCTTTTCTGGCAGACAGTTACAAGGCTGTCTTGCACTCGGCCTGATGCTCTCAGGCTCTAGGTCCACTGGGTCAGTTCAAGGCTATGGACCTGGGTACACCTTCTGCAGATGGATGCCCTATCCAGAAGTGTATGCCAGGGAATTGGGGAAAACTACAGTTGCTTTTTGGTTTCCTGAGGCTTACTTACTCCTTTCCCTCTGCATCTCTGAATCCTCCTTCATGGAGGTTACAGGGAAAATTAGAACAGCTAAAAATATCTTGGCAGATTCTGGAGGTTTTATGGTTGATCATTAAGGGGTTTTGAAACACCTGTACAACCTGGTCACTCCCTTCCCTTGAGTCAAGAGGGTATCTGTTAACCCCTCTCATAGGAGAAGAGAGTTTCACCCTTTACCCCTCACCTTTGATTTCTCCCTCCCCTACCCGGGAAAGGAAGGAGGGGGGAGGGGCAGCAGCTACAGCATGGGCCCCACTGGCCATGGCCTTGGGCTCTGGGGCAACCTTTTCCTGGAAGCATCCAGGTTCGGCACATCCTGTTCAAGGTAAAGAAGCTGGCCTCTGAACTTGGGTAAGCATGCTTTTTTAAATTTGTAGTTTTAACTGTTAATGATGAGATGTTGATTCTCTGTGTAAAGTTATTTGGAACCGCATTTAACAAAACTAAAGTCACTTGATTGGTAATGTGTTTGTTTCAAGTTTCAAATTGGTGAACTTTCTGTATCAGTTATGTCAAGCAACTTTTCATAATTTGGTTACTGATATAAAATAATTTAGCTATTGTTGGCTATTGTTTTAATGTGTAAACTAGCCAAAAAGCTTGTTTGGGTTATGTATGGCTTGCTGAGAATTTGCAAGTGTATAGAAATCTCTAACGATTGGCTTTTTACACCAGGACAAATTTAAGTTTGAGATGTAAATCCTGGAAAAGTTTTTCCTAAGTTGTGATTAATAAAACTTGCTGTTTGAGGTAAAAGCTTATAGGATTTTAAGTTGTCTGATAGTTCATAATTCATCGATAATCAATAATCCACCATCTGAGAGAAATGCCACAAGCTACTGAGAGAAGGTGATACTGGTGGGAAGTCAGCATTGGGAAAAGTTGAGAGGACAATTTTAGCCTCAGTCTAAGATGGGATCCTCCTGGCTCAGTTTCCCCATTACATTCCCTTGAAAGGGAATGTTACCCACCTGGCTATTCCTGACTCTGGCTATGAGGTGGATCTGAGACTGCATGGTTGGAAAACCGAATTATCTGAATCCTAACAGAGCTAAGGATGTTTTATCCTCTCAAAGTTGGGCCCTAAATCTAGTCCCTGCTTTATATCTGGGCCCTGCAGTTTTTTTCTGTCAGATTTATGTCTTCCAGACTATGGGCCATTAACCTACAGTTGGGAGTACCAGCCAATGTCCTCTTATCATTCCCTGGATGCAGCCTGTGCTCTGTTCCAGTCAACCTCCTCTTTGGGATCCCCTTGAGCAGGGACAGCTCTATGTCCCTTGCCAGAAGGAAGCAGTTTCAGAAGCCTAGACCTTTGCCCCTTACTCCAAAAGAATTTGGGTCCCATTTATTTGAGGGGGAATGATGGGGTTGGGATCTAGACCCCAGAAAGGAAAAACCCTGGACTTTCCCACATGGCCAAATCTCTTGGCGTTACCCTGAGGCTATACTCCCATCAACTGGCCTTTCATTGTAGCTATACCCAATCTTCCCTCTTTTGTCTTACCTCCCTATGTCCCCTGGCCATTTCCCACACTTAATCCTAGCTACGCTCCATTGTCCAGGTCCCAGGAGTTCTGATCATCCCAGCTTACTGGCCACTCCCATTCAGATCCACTCCAAGATCCCTCCCACTGCCTTGCTGAATATAAAGTCCATCTTGTCTCCATTAAGACGTAACTTAGATTCTTATAATCTAGCCATGGCTTAGATTCTTATAATCTAGCCAAGGCTGGGATTCCTAAAATCTAGCCACTGCTGGGATTCTTATAATCTAGCCACTGGTCAGATTCTTATAATCTAGCCAACAGCTTACTAGTGTTCAGACTTCTTAAGAGTCTGCCCAATATGATGGATATTCTAATAAACCTTGTCTTTGACTGAAAAAAACAAACAACCCAGCTTCTAGTTTTTTTTTTTATTATTCAGTTTTTTTCTTTCAGTTTTGTTAACCTCTTCTTTGATTTTCAGGATTTCTATTTTTTGCATTCAATTGGGTTTTTAAAAAAATCATTCAATTTTAAGTTTTTATTTAGTTGCATGACCAATTTATTCATCTATTTCTGTCTTTCATTAATGAAAGTGTTTAAAGAAAAAACATGTTTCCCCTAAGTATTGTTTTTGCTGCACCTTGTAATTGTGGTATATTATCTCATTAGCATCATCTTTAATGAAATTATTGATTGTTTCTATAGGTTTTTTGACCCACCCAATCTTTAGGATTGTTATTAATCTCTAATTAGTTTTTAATTTTGGCTTCAAAGGTGCTATATCAAATATAATTTTATTATATCATGGCCCATCAGAAGTGAAAATAATATTTTTGCTTTTCTGCATTTGTTTGTAAAGTTTTTATGTACTAATATATGGACAATTTTTGTGAAGGTGCCATGCACAACTGAGAAATAATCATACTCTTTCTATTTGTATTCAATATTTCCAGAGGTTTATTATATCTAACTTCTCTGAAATTCTATTCATGTGCTTAATTTTTTTTTTGTCTGATTTTGGTTAGATTTATCTAGCTTTGAGAAGGGCAAATTGAGGTCTCACGTTGTTATAGTTTTGCTCTCCATTTCTTCCTATAACTCATTTAATTTGTTATTTAAGAATTTAGGTGCTGTGCCATTTGGTGCATGTATTTTTATTATTGATATTAATCCATTATCTAGGATGCCTTTCAGCAAAATGCTGTTTCCCTGTTTATCTCTTTTAATTAGGTCTGTTTTTTGCTATTACTTGGCCTGAAATAATGATTACTAGTCTGCTTTTTTTTTTTAACTTGAAGTGAAGCATAAAAGATTCTGCTCCAGATTCTTCTTTAACTTTATGTGTAGTCTTTCTATTGCAAATGTGTTTTTTGTAAACAACATGGTTCTGGTTTTTAATTTATTCTGCTATCCTTTTCCATTTTATGAGTCAGTTGATGCCATTCACACTTACAACTAAGATCTTTAATTGTGTTTTTCCCTCCATCCTATTCTCTTATATTTTTCCTTCTTATTTCCTATCTCTTTCAGAATTTCTTCTGCTAATAATTAATCCCTCCCTTAATTTACCTTCTCTCCAATTCCCCACTTTCCCTTAACCCTTTTCCTTCCTGTTTCCCTATTGGGTGAAACATATTTCTGTACCCAACTCTCTCTCTCTCTGCCTCTCTTTCTCTCTCTCTCTCTGTATGTGTGTGTTTGTGTGTGTTCTTCTCTTCTTTTGCCAGTTAAGATGAGAGTGAAGTTTAAGCATCTCCCACTACTTTTTACTACTCCATCACTCTCAGCTCCATACAGCCCTCTTCTTCTTGTTGATGTTAGTTAATACTCAATTTCTAATTTGATCTCTGGTTCTAAGATATCTGGGCAGTTTTCTTTTATGATTTCTTGAAATGTCTTTTTTTGTTTATGTCTTTGAGGTAGTCTATGATTCTTAAATTATCTCTTCTCAATTTGTTTTTCAGTTCAACTTGTTTTTGCTATGAGATACTTTACCTTTTCTGCTATATTTTCAGTTTTTTAAACTTTTAGTATTTCTTTGTACCTCTTGGAGTCATTAGCTTCTATTTGATTAATTCTAATTATCAGGGAGTTTTTTTCATTGTTCAGATTTTGTATCTCTTGTTCCAAACTATTAATTGTTTTCCCATATTTTTCTTCCATAGGTTTCATTTATTTCCCCATTTTCACCTCTAGTACTGTCATTTTGTTTTAAAATAACTTTTAGCTCTTTTAAAAAACTCTTGTCTTATCTCTTCCAGGAATTCTGGTTGGATTGGTGTCCAAGCTATGTTCTTCTTTGAAGCTTTGCTTGTATACATTTTGAAATCATTCTTTTTTTGATTCCCTTTCACCATAAAAGCTCTTTATGGTGGGATTCTCTCTTTTTTATTTTGCTTATTATTCCAACACCCTTTCTGACTATAAGCTTTATTTTGGGGCCAGGGTCTGTGCACTTCTGGGGGGCAATGAATGAGCTGAGTTTTTTTTTCCCTTTGTGGGTCCTTCTGCTTTCTTGGGGCTATTAAGTGTTGTGTTATTTCAAGATCTTACAGATGACTCAGACTGGGAGCCTGCAGTCTTTGTGTTCACAGAATAGCATTTTTTAAAATTGCCCTTAATCTGCAAGTTTCAGGACCAGATTTAGGTCTAAGCAACATGTGTGCGAGCTTGTTCCTGGATGGAAGTTCCAGTAGTTCCAGTTGACTGCTGATAGATTCAGTCACTACCATCAACCAGGAAACTCAGCAAGTTCAGAGGGACAGAAATGAGGAGTCTCCTTTGGTCTGGGATTTTTGACCTGATTATTCCTTTACAGACTCCAGACTCTTCTGGAGGCTAGAACTTAGGCTGTACTGTGCTCCTGGATCAGAGCCAAACAGCTACTATTTGCTTTTAAATGGACTCCTTGCTCTGTACATAGCTCAGGGCCTGCCACTACTCCTCTCTATCACCACTAGGAAAGATCCTCTATTCAGTCTTCCTAGGATCTGTGATAGGATAGTCAGACTTGGGTAGAGAATGACATATCTGCCAATTGGCATCTATCTGTTCCCTCATCCTGCACTAGTTTGGGGAGTCTCTGAGACTTCTTTCTGCCCCAGTTCCTTTTGCCCTAGTCCTTACAGTCTCCTTTCTCTTTCCTTCCCTAAGCACTAGGATGCTCTAGGTGCCATATTCCTGGTTGGATCCCAACCCCAGTGTCCACAGACTTTTCTATCCCTCTAAACTGACCTGGGCTGTGATTTTTCTATTTTTTGTTTCCCAGTTGGAACTTGGTTTGATACATTAACTAGATTTTTGTGGAGAAGTTGTGTTGTAGTATCTTCAGTATCTTCCTGGTACTCCACCCTCTTAGCTTCCCTTTGTTAACTGACTCCTGACTGGTAATTATACCTCTGGCCATGTGTCTGCAAGCCAGAAGCTGACAATGGTTTCTTACTGACTTTGCTGAGGTTAAGTCTCTTGTGTTTTTCTCCTCTTTCAATAAAGCTCATGATGTTGTGGTGGCAGTTCATAGCCCATGCCTTGGATGTTTCAATCCCATATCAACCAACCATTCAGATTTGGAAGAGATTTTGAAACATGGCCTTCAATCTTTTAATGAAAAATCCAAGCATGAATACCTCTTTGCCCTTAAAGAAGTTATGAATGCCTCGAGACAGGTTTGGATGTCATTTACTTCTCTTCATACAGTTTTATACACATACTGTAGTAAAACATTTTACTAATAAGTAATCAACTAATAAATAAAACATTTCATTAAAATAAATGATAGGTGGGTAATAGATTAATAATAATATTTTATAAGAAAGCATATACCTATTTTATACATACGTGTGAATATTTATATGCACACAACATACATATGTATATATACGCACACATGAATATGTATCTGTATTATATTAATTTAATAATTGATATATACTCTAGACAAAATGTATGTCTATACATAAAATGTATAGGTAATATACATGTGTATGTATAGGTATATATATATATATACACACACACACATATATATATAATATACAATATATATATCTACATATTGTGATGTGTAATCTGCATACTTACATAGAGGGGTAGCAGAACATAGTGGATATACAGCCAGGATTGGCACTAGAACAATTGGGTTTTAGTCTTGTCCCATGACTCAAACTGACTGTGTAAGACACTTAACTTCTCAGTGAATCAGGCAACTCTGTAAGGTGCAGAGAGGAGGCTGATCTGCCAGGGTTCACACATCTACATTTATGTTCTTTAAGAACCTATACCTGGATGGGTGTAACAGTAGGATGTTGATTGAGTCAATCACCTCACCTCACTCCAACTTAAAGTGAGCTATAAGGTACCTTATATTATATTATATTACATTATAGATACCTTAATGAACAAGTTTCCATCAATCAATCAATCAAAAACTTTAGATTGAATGTGAAAGGGGGATAAACTCGAAGGACTATTGACAGGAAGAATGTTAGGACTAACTGAGGTAACTTAGGCACTCCCCATGGATCTTCTATAACATATAAGTCCAGTGTAAAACTAAGAGAGCAAGATTCTGAGTCAAGAGAGATTTGGAGGGCAGGGCAGAAAGGAAGGTGTAGGGACAACGGCAGCCAGAAATAACAGCCAGTCCAGGGGCAACCAGTGGAAAGAGAAAGGGAAAGTAAGATCAAGCTATGGCAAAGAAGGGGAAGATGGAATAAGATCCTGTGCCTGTAGGCATCTTGGAGCAGAAACCCAGGCTGATGCCACCCAGCAGGTGGACTGACCTTTTCAAGAACTGAGGGAGTTCCAGGAAAAGGTCTGTTCTTCAACTTCTCTCATTGCTTGTTTTTAACAGGCACTGTAAAATCCTCTGTTGATCCTCTATGCAGATAGTTCTGGTACCCTCAATTTTTTTTTAATCACAAAGAAGTCAGAGGTTAACAAGAGATTGATCTAAGTGTAAATGAAAACACAAAGCCAAGTTTCTTTACCTGAGAGATTTCTGATAGCAATGAAGTCTCTGTTTCAGGCCTTTTCCTTGCCTACTCTGTGCCAGCTGCTAAGGACTAGAAAAACAAAAGTCCCTACCCTCAAGGATCTTACAATCTAACAGGCAAGACAACGTATGTAAGAATAAGTAAAACACCTCCACAGCAGATCTGAGGTAACTTCAGAGGAGCAAGCACTAGTGATTGGCAGGGACCAGCAAAGACCCCGTAAGAGAGCTGCCTGATGAACATCATTCCGCTGCAGCATTATGCCAAGGAAGACTTGCTATCACAGATAACACTGGGAAAAGGTGTGACTGGAACAGGAGGTGGGGCAGTCATGGTCAAGGGAGAGCCAGAGGCAATAGACAAGCATCCCCAAGTGTGACCCGATCCCAAGGGAAGGGTAAGAAGTCTCCACTGGGTTGGGTGCATTCTCCATGGAAGGACGTGGACAAGATAATCCTGGAGAAGAGGGAGGAGCTGTGCCACTGAAGGGACGGGACAGCAGTGTGTAGATATCAATAGGATTTGTATCTATGTGTATATACATGTATACACACACACACACACAAAATTAACATTATACAAATTTAATGTTTTAATAATATGCAAATTTAGTATTTTAATAATATATACATTTCTGATTTGCAAAGCATTTTCTCTACGTTGTCTCCTTTGGTCCTCACAGTGACCCTGGGATGTTAGGTACTATAACTACCCCGACTCGGGGCATATGAGGAAAGGGAGGCGGAGAGATTCCAAGTGACTTGGCCAGGGTCACACAGCTGCTAAGTATCTTAGGCAAAATTTGAATTCAGGTCTTCCTGATTTCTATTCATTGAGCCACCTAGCTGCCTTTTAAAGGTCTTGTAGGATGTCTCCATGTCATAGATGCATGGATCACTGCATTTCCCTTTCATGTCTTAAAAAAAACACTTCAGGGGTGTTGGTGAGTTGCTACTTACCCACTGGTATCCTCGGTACCTTGCTCAGTGTCTGGCTCCTAGTAGACACCTAGTAAAATATTTGTTGATTGATTTCCCCAAGAATAGGATGAAAAGGCATTCCTTGCTTTTCCCGATTCTCTGTCCTCCTTCCCCCCTCCCCTATCACATACTTTTAGAATCTCTTATCATGCTGTATTTTGTATTTCTATGATTAGTGCATGGGCTTTGTCCCACTGACTGAAGTGTAAGTCTCTGAGGGTGGGGATGGCGATATTGCTTTTTGTATCTCCTGGCACATCACCAGTACTATGCATTTGAGAGAGACAGCATCAACCATGGAGTCAGGAAGACATGGATTCAAGTCCTGACTCACTCTTGCTGGATGTGTGATCCTGGGTGAGTCACTTAACCCTCCAAGTGCTATAGGCAGCTGTCCAAGTCTCTAAGTTACAGAGTAAGTGCCTATCTGTACTGTGTAGGAGCTTTCCTTACTCCCTATACCAATGAAGTCAGAGGTCTAGTCCAGAAAAAAAGAGGGTAGGGGAAGGAGCATTGGCTTGAATCTCTGGAGGCCTGGGTTCAAATCCTGATTGTGTGTCCATGGGCATATGGTTTACCTCTCTGTGCCTCTGTTTCCTCAACCATAAAATGGGAATGATAACTGACAGCACCTCCCACCCAGGGTCATTGTTTTGCAAACCAAAAAGTTTTGTAGAAATCTGAATAATTAGTCTATCAGATTGGATTGGATAGAAATTCAGTAACAAAATTCAGCTTAAACGCACACGAGATTCAAGGCTCCTTCATTATGGAACTCTGCCAAATAATACAATTTCCTTTCAAATTCCTCTTATTGTAGGTAGTCAATGGGTGGAATTATAAGATCCAATATTCAATCGTGCAAACTGACTGCTCAAAGAAGGAGGATGGACAATTAAGTGACAAATGCAAGCCTACGCCTCAAGGGGTAAGTGATGCTAACATGGACATTTCCAAAAGAATCTTCTGGGTCACTGCAAGACAAAATGCACCATCCGCATCCTTCAAACTCAACTCTTCAACTCAATGAGTTATAGGATTGGGAATTGTCCAGTTGGGTGCCGTATATCACTCCCCTGAGTGCTACCATTACCCTGGTGGCCAGGAGCCAATAGCACAAACAGATAATCTTATCTTTATTATAACTCAAAGTGGATAGTTGGGCGTACCAACTTGGATCACTTTTCTCTAGATAAGCAGTTCTCAAAGTGTGGTCTGGGGAACCTTTCAGGACAGAGAACTGGAGTCTCATGAGTTCTACCAAAGCTTGAGGGCTTTGAGAGAAGAACCTGGGAGCCAGAGGAGCAGAGTGGATCTACCCAGAAGGAAGGGAGGAGAGGGAGAGACAGAGGAAGTGAAAGAGGAAGAAAGGAGGGAAGGGAGAAAGGACTAAGGGAGAGAGGGAAGAAGATAGTGTTTATTTGAGGCAGTGCTTGTATCTTTCTGAAATTCTAGTTCCAAAGGTGAATCTTGGAGTACAGCCCCAGCATGCATTCTTCTGTGAGGCAGTTTCTAGCTCCAGTAAATGAGAATCACAATGCATGAGCTTTGTGTCATGGGGACCCTCCTCTCTCTCTCTTTTTTTCTCCTTATCTCTATTTCTTTGTCTGTCTCTGTCTTTGTCTTCATCTCTCTCTCTCTTCTCTCCTCCTTTCCTTTCCTTTCCCTCCCTATCTTCTCTCCTCTTTTCTTTTCTTCACTTTCTTCTCTTCTCATCTCTCTGTCTCTTACTCTGTCTCTGTCTCTCTTTCCCTCCCTTCTCTTTCTGTCTCTCTTGTCTCACTCTCTTCTCTCTCTTTCTCTCTCTCTCTCTCTCTCTCTCTCTCTCTCTCTCTCTCTCTCTCTCTCTCTCTTCTCTCCCTCTTTCTCCTCTCCTCTCTGTCTCTGTCTTTCTCTTCTCCTTCTCTGTCTCTTCTCACTCTTCTCTTCCTGCCTCTCTGTCTCTCTCTCTTATTCCCTCTCTCCCTCCCTTCCTCTGGAGTCTTTTAAGCATCCCTGAGGTTGAAGAGTATAAACTAGAACTCATCTTGAATCATTCAGATGCAGTATGAGCTTTCAAGCTTTCTTCTAGTCCCAGGATCTATAAAAGAGACCTGGGGTTTATGGTTCATTAGCAGTGCAGTGAACAGAAAGAAGGACCTGGAAGTAGTGGAACATGGGTTCAAATCCTGATTTCTTCTATTTATTAGCTGAAAGAACTCAGTCAAGTCACCTAACTAGCCACTTTGGGCATTTGTTTTCTCACTTGTAACATGAAAGAGTTGGCCTGGATGATCTCAATGGTCTCTTCTGGTTCTAAATCAATGACCTGTTGAGCCTCTGTTTCCTCCTCTGTAATATAAGGGGGTTGGACTAGATGTTCTCTGAGGTCACTTCTAGGTCCAAGTCCACGGATTTTTGACCACTCTCCCAGATTGGGTGGTTCTCTATTACTTTGCTTCATCTTTCTTTATCCTGGAGTGGAGCCTACAGCTTTTTCTCAACACTAGAGAGACTCAAGGATAATTTACTCTAGCGACAAGTTTGCTTGGATTCATCCCTGGACTCTCTGTTGAGCTTTCTCTTTCCTCCTTTCCTTCCAGGAGATAAGTGTCTGCAGCGATTTCACCTATGTAGATCCCCAAATGAAAATCAGTATTGTCTCCCAGGCTTGTAACCCAGGTAAGTGACAGCCCTCTTGATAGTCACCATAAGGCTTTGTCCCTTATGTCTTTTATAAGAGGAGGAGGCCATGAGATGAAAAAGGCACCTCGCAGAGACAATAACATATGGGACTTCTGAAATGGAGGAAGAGCAAAGCCCCGGATGCTAACCAATAGCTCACCTATCACTCTAGGGCAGCCTATGAGCCCACATTCTCCCCAACATAGTCCAAAGCAAGCCCCAGAGCCTCCTGGGTCCACAGACCAGCCAAAATCCTGTGTGAGCAAGGGGCTGTTGAGCAGCAACACCTTCCCCTCAGCAGAGCAGAGGGAAAAACACTGGATTTGGAGGCAGAGAATCTGGATTCAAATTCCACCTTTGTCATTTATTACCTCTGTGGTAGGAAATCTTGGATGAATCTCTTCAATTTCTCCATCTGCAAAATGAGGGTTGGACTGGATAGCCTCTGAGCTTTCTCCCTTCCATCTTTAGTTTCATGGCTTAAAGTTCCTAGTTGCCTGAGTACTTGCAATTTACCATTAGAGATTTATTCGTTTAGCTTAATTGTTGGGTCTTTCCACCAGATACTCCTTTAAAATCCGATGCACCTGGGCGGGTCAACAAAACAATTCACTATGAGATATGGAAAGATCAAATTAACAAGTATTTATTTACAATCTCAGACTTACAGTGTCTCAGAGTGGGGGGAGAGCTCAGAGATGTCTAGTCCAACCATGCAGGGCTCAAGCGAGAGCATCCCTCCACAATATCCCTGACCAGGTGGCATCTTAAAGCCCTTACTATGTGCCAAGCATAGTACTGGGGATAAAAAAAGAGATGGAGGGAGTAGGGTTTAAGTACACTGAGGGGCAGGTGGAAGGAAAGTGAAGCCAGAGCTGGTGGGAGGCCCTCTCCCAGACAAACTTTACCTACTTGACAAGTCTACTAACCAGGAAGTTGCACTCTACTCCATTGGGTTTCAGCAGGGGGCAAATTCCCTCTGCTCATCAAATGTTTGTACTAATCAGAAGTCTCATATTCTAAACTGAACTCTTGCCTTCCAGGGAGTGACTCAGCATCTTCTGTGACCCAGAAGATGTCTGTCTATAGCCCAGAGCTGAAAGAGCCTTTGAGACATTCCCTGGAAAAAATCAACTCTGAGAATAAAAATAACTTCTATTTCAAGATGGAAACCATTGAGAAAGCAGAATCCCCGGTTTGTGAATGCATCTTTTGACATCAGCAGGCCTGTGGGTGGTAGTTAGCCATCACTTCTGGATTTCATCATGATTTAGATCCTAAAGCTTTGATTTGATTCTACTGGATTCAAAGAGATGCCTTTTGCTGGCCCTGGTTTTGCCACGGGCATTCAGGGGTTCCTTTACATTTATGGGGGACCAGTAAAAGTCATTTCTCTCCTTTGACTCTTCTTGCTTCCCTCAACTGCAACATGAGAAGGTTAGACCAGTTGATCTTCCTTCCCGGTCTAAATCTAGTTTCCAAGGATCAACTCCTGTCTGTGGTTATCCATGTCTGTTCTGGGTTGAAGGGAGTAGGTGTTAGCATTCCTAAGAATTTCAGGATGACACCACCTCCCCTGCTCCCAAGCTGCACTCCCAAGTGAGCATGGGAAGCTTACTTCAAGCCAACTCCACAAACATTCATTAAGTGCCTATGCCATGAAAGGCACCAGGCTCTGAGAAACAAAGAAAGGTGGCAGGTCAGGGTCCCTGCCCTCAGGGAACTTCTACATTTTACCAGGGATGGGGCGTACCACAGAGGAGGGAATACAAAATAAGTCCTAGAGTTCCAGGGGATGGGCAGCAACAGTGCCCATTGGCACTGGGGGAATCAGAAAAGGCCTTGTGGGGTTCAGGGCAGTTGGGCAGGGCTTTGAGAGAAGCCCGGCATCCTGCACCATGGAGGCGGCAATGATGGACATGCCAGTCATTCTTCTAAGTGATTTAGTGCAACACTGACATCACTTTCCTCCTACAAATATGAAGTCCTCAACCAAATGAAGGCAGATTCTCCTCTCCCTAGTCACCTGAAGACGCTTTTCAGACATGAGAATTTCACCCCTAGCATCTTCTCCCTGTCCCTCTGGTCATAGGGCTGTGTTAGAAGTTCACCCACACATGAGGTCTGCACATCACAGATTGATAATGATTAATAATAGCTAGTGTTGACACAGTGTTTAAGGTTTGCCAAGAGCGTCAAAATATTATCTCATTGGATCCTCACAACAGCCCTGGGAAGCAGATGCTATCATTACCCCCATCTTACAGATGAGAAAGCAGAGGCAGACAGAGGTTAATTGACTTGTGCAGGGTCTTGGAAGTGTTTGACGTTGGATTTTAACTCAGTGCAAATCCAGGTTCGGTGGTCTATTCACTGGGCCACTGAGCTGCTTCATATATACATATACATACATACACATACATACATATATACATATATATGTGTGTGTATATATATATACACACACATACACATAATACACATACATATATATACATGTGTATAACATTTTCTAACTATATACATACATATATGTGTATCTCTATATGCTTATATATGCATACATACACACGCACATATATGTAATATCCCCCCCTTGCCCAAACCCTTTGGATAATTTTCTACTTAGCATATTGCCTTAGAAATGCTAGAAGTAAGATGCTCAGGATGAAAGCAGAGACATGAACCGCTTCCTGTTGACTTTGCAGGCAGGACCTGGACCCAAATATATCATTGAATTTCTCATCAAAGAAACTGAATGCTCTAAAGAGAAAGACAAGTATTCTGAAGACTGTGCATTTAAGGAATCTGGGGTAAGTCACTAGGGGTCAATTATTTATGATCTGAGGGAGGCCAGAGTCCATGATCCAAGGGTCCTCACTCAGGGCCAGAAGTTCTTAGGCTAGGGTCTGTAAACTTGTTTTCAAACTATTTTAATAATACTATTTCATGTAATCTGCATTTTATTTTATGCATGTAAAGACATAATTCAGAGGAGTCAACAGGCTTCACCAAGCTGACAAAAGTGTCCAGGACACATGAAAGGTTCTGAGCACACTGGTCTTGACCTTAGTACATTATAAGAAAATGGGTTCAAGCTTTTTTCTTGTCCAGTGTTACAGTGAAAATTAGTGATGTGATGGAAATCCAATCCAATCCAATCAATAGCACCAGGTACTTGGTACTGAGAATTCAGAGACCAAGAACAAAAAAAATCCATCCCCGCCTTCAAGGCGGGAGGAGATACATGGACAGAGAGAAGTAGATAGCTGAGAATTTGTGAAGGGGTGGGACAGAGAAGCCCAAAAGCTGGGGCATCAAAGAAGTCTAGAAAGAACCAAGATCTGGTTCTGCTCTACTGCTGATTCTCTATGACCTTGGGCACATTGATTTATCTCCATGGGCCCTAGTATCCTCATCTGTGAATGAAGGGGTCAGCCTCCATGGTCTCTGCAGTCCCTTTCACTTATTTGCATGCATAAGTGAGAAGTAAGAGGCTAAGAGCACACAGCAGAGTGTGTCCAAAGGGTTCTGCTCTGGACGTGAAGAATGCTGAAGCAGCTCGGGGCTAGCCTACGGGTGGCTCATTTCACTTTTGTTTTTCTGGACAGGATGGTTTGAAATGCATAGCGAATGTCTCTGTGGAGGACGAGGGTACATTTAATCCTACAGTTCGCTGTGAGCATCCAACAGAGGTAGAGTCCTGCCTTTCTCTGGCTGGTTCATGTGCTGATGTGGACAGGGATGTCTCATGAAACCAGGGAGAGTGACTTTCTGATCCAAGTGAAGAAAAACCTGAGCTTGGATGCTTCCAAGGGGTTATTAGGAAAGAGATCAACTCAGTCACCCTGTACTGGTCCACACCCCAAAACATGCACACACAGATAAGCACACATACTCCTTATTAAGCAAGTCACTTCTTCTCCAGACTCCCCAATGATTTGTGGTCTGTCTGTGTCCAAATGTGCATCTATGAACTGCATGTGTGCAAATATGTATTTCTGAAGAAATTATGTTTTTGTCATTGAACTTGTCCTGTATCCCAGTCCAACAAGATTATCCCCTCTCCAGATATCTCTATATTTATACCTCTAGATATGTCTCTGTATCTCTATCTATCATCTATCTATCTATCTATCTATCTATCTATCTATCTATCTATCTATCTATCCTCTCTCTCTCTCTCTCTCTCTCTCTCTCTCTCTCTCTCTCTCTCTCTCTCTTTCATTCCATAAAACCTGTTGATACTTTTGGCGCAATTCAATACTATGTAGAGAATTTTTATTTACCCTCAAGGTAATTATAAGGCCCTGAAGGTCTTTGAGCTATGGAGTGACATAAATTAATCAAGGAAGTATCTATTTTGATCTACTGGTTTCCAGGTGCTGATTTTACAAATACAGCAAGTCAGACCTGTATCTTAGGAAGATTATTTGAGTATATGGTGGATGCCAGTTAGATGGAGGATGGAGGAAAGAGGCTGGAGGTGGAGAGACAGTTGGATGACTCAGTGGTTAGAGTGCTGGGCTTGGAATCAGGAAGAGCTTAGTTCAAATCTTGCCTCAGACCCTTAGTTGTGTGACCCTGAGTCCAAATCTCTGTGCTTCAGTTTCCTTACCTGTAATGAAAGGGATGGACTCAGTGACCTCTAGGATCCTTGTCAGCTGTAACTCTATGCTCCATGAGACCAATTAGAGAACTATTACAATAGTCTAGGTGAGAGGTGATGAGGGCTTGAATGAAGAGGGTGGCCCTAGGAATGAGTTAAGTGGATGAGTATTTGAGCACTTGGAAACTGATTAAAGTTTGAGGTTGAGGGGTAAGAGAGAGCACCAGAGCCTGATTATCAGGAGATAAGGATGATTCCCAGATTTTTAACCTGGCTTAGTGGGAGGCTACTGGTGCCCTCACAGAAGTAAGAAAAGGGTCAGGTTCATTCTATTTTGGACATACTTGGTTTGAGTTGCCACCAACAGATGCAGGTGGAGATACTGTAGGCAGTGGAGGAGGCAAGCCTAGGGGAAGAGAGAGATCAGTGCCAGATAGATCGAGACAATCACTGGACATGGGTGTCGATGAGGTCACCAACAGAGAGTTAATGCAGAAGAAGAGGGCTCAGCACTGAGACTGGGGTGTGCTTGTACTTAAGGAGCAGGAACAGATGATGAAAACCAGTAAAAAAAAAAAAAGAAAATGGGAAGTATCCTGAAAGAGAACAAGGCAGATGAGGAATGAGAAAAGACCATGATATTTAGCAATTAAGAGGTCACTGGCAAATTTTGAGAGATCTTGTAGTTAGAGATCAAAGATAAGAGGGAAGGAACAATTGATGGGTCAAATTCCTAAAGGGGAGGGGGAAAAGGTAACAAGCAGAAGGTTTAGAACTTGCAAGGGGAAAGGCCACTGTATCCTGGAGCAAATGGAGAAAAAATGAGCCTGGGGTTTGAGGGGGAGAGTAAAGGAGATGAGCTAGTTCATGATATATGCTTTTGATTTTCTCAGCAAATTGGAAGACAAGTAGTTCCATAAGATAGAGGGTAATGGGATTGCCAATGGAGAACCTAAGGAGAGAGGCGCTTTGGAAGAGCCAATGTATGGAGTGAGACAGTCAATTAGAGACTAATAAAAATTACTGTGTAGCAACGAGGCCCCAGCTGAGGTTAGATAATATTACTCAAGCATCCTAAGAGTAGGAGCACAAAAGGTAGACAGTGATGATCTCCCAGAGTTAAGTATTGACAGGGCTTGAATGATTGAAGGGACAAGGGTTTCAAGGGTGGAGTATAGTGTCTCATTGGATTCATTAACTATAAGGTCAAGACTGTGATGGGACAACAGTGAGGCCTGAACCGAAGTAGCAGATTTGGAAAATGGGGTGGCAGGTTGTGGTGAGGACAGAGAGAATATTTAGGATGAGTGGGATGCTGAGAGGACATCAGGGCAGGAGATTGTGATCAGACTGGGAAATTTCAGAATTCAAGATCATGGAGGTAGGATTATTTGGGATACAGACAAGGTCTCAGATACATCTTCCCTTGTGGGTGCCTCAGGTAGAGTAGAGATGTAGCATGACCATGAATAAGTCACTTTACTCCCTCTCTGGGCCTCACTTTCCTTATTTGTAAAAACCTACCTCACAGGGATTGCTTTGTAAACCTTAGAGTGCCATATAAATGCAAACCATTATAATCAGAATTTTGGAGTCCTCCCTTCATAGATAAAAAAAAAAACACATTTTATCTAGTATTCTCTTTTAAATTAAATTTTATTGTTTTTTTTAATGTGCATTAATTTTCTTTCCCTCTCACCTACCTCCATTGGGAAAAAAAACCCCTCGTAACAAATACACATAATTAAGTGAAACAAATTCCCACATTGGCCATGTCCAAAACTGTTTGTACAAAGCTGTTCTGCATCTTGAATCCATCACCCACCTCTCTGTCAGAAGGCAGGTAGCGTTCTTGAGATAACATTGTGGTTCATCGTTGCATTCATCAGTTCTTGAGTCTGGCAGAGTTGTTTGTCTTTACAATATTGTTAGTTTTGTATAAAAGGTTTTCCTGGTCCTGCTCACTTCCCCATGCATCACGTCATACAGGACTCTAAAATCATCTCCTTGGCCACCTCACCATAGTGTTCTATTACAGTCACATGCCATATTTGTTCAACCATTCCCCCATTGATGGGCACTCCCATAGTTCTCCCATTAGTTCTTTGCCATCATGAAAAGAACTGTTATCAATATTTTGGTATCTATTGGTCCTTCTTCTCTTTCTTGGATCTCTCTGGGATCTCTGGTAGTGGAAATATTGATCCAAAAATTTAATCTGGTCTTATTGACATCTACGACCACTATTGTCATCATCCTCATAGCTCACATTTACATAGTCCCTTAAAATTTGCTGACTACCTTATTGGCATTATTTCTTTTGTTAAGGTTTGCAAAGCACTTTTTGTATATTATTTCATTTGATTGACCCTGTGAAGTAGGTGCTAGTATTACCTTCATTATATAAATTGGGGACTGAGGCTCAGAGAAGTTGCATGATTTACCCAGAGTGACACAGTTAGTGAATTTCTGAGGTGGGAATTGAACCCAGGTCTCCCTGACTCCAAGCCTAGTTACCTATCCATTATGCCACACCACTTCACAATCCATTCATTGTACAAATCAATCTGATAGCCAACACAGAGGGGAAAGATAACCTCTTAGTTTCCCTTTCCCCCATACCCTTACTAAAGTATCCAAAACTAGGCAAACTCTGGCTTAGTGAGATGAATGAGCCTGGCCAAGCCTGTGCCCTTCTCCTGTGTAGGGATATTGTGGTCATTGTTGAAATGTGTCTGTCCACGCTTCTCTTTAGATGCTTATGAAAAGGCCTCCAGGTTTTTCCCCTTTTCGAGCAGCTGCAGTGATCCCAGAAATGGAAGGAGCAGAGGCTCCAAGTGAGCCCCAGACTTCTGACATGACAGATCAGGAGGAAGCGCAAGGCCCAGGAAAAGAACAAGGGCTTACTCGTAGCTTTGGTCCCGGGCACCAAAAGGAACATAACTCTGGCCATGGGCACAAAGATCACCGTGGTCTTGGCCTTGGCCATAAACATGAGCATGCTCACAGTCAAGGACATGGCCACAGGCACAAACACAAACATGGTGAAGGCCATAGGAAACATGAGAAAAAAGGCAAGAAAAGCCCTGGGAGTTGGACAGACAGGTATCTGGACAGCCCAGCTAAAGAGAATTCTCCTTCCAAGACACAAGAGGAGACACAAGGCCCACCACCCCTCCTTAGCTCAGCATTGCAAGAGGTCACTATTACTCCTTCTGATTTTCAAGATTTAGATCTCCTTGATCTTAACCCAACCAATCCTCCATCTGAGCCTAAAACCGACGAGAAGACAAAGGAGACGGCAGGGGAGGAAGAGTACACAGATGATGACTGGATCCCAGACATCCCTATCCAGCCAAAAAGCTCCTTGTTTACTTTGGTGCCTGATTTTCCAGAACCACCTGCCCCCAAATGCCCTGGACGCCCATGGAAACCGATTGATGTGATGGACCCAGTCAAGGAAGAGAGCCAATATATGGACTTTGACCTCTCTGATGCTCTTGAATTTGGGAAGAAATGATTCTCCTTCTGGCTCTTCACCATCCTACTGCCCAAATACAATGGACCACATACCAGAAATGTCAGAATAGCCTAGAACAAGGGTTGAGACTCAGCGTGGACACTGGAAGTCTCAACGAACTAATGAAAAGTTGTTTTGCAAAGAGCAAATCTATCCTCATTTCTTTGGACAAGCAAGTTCCCTCAGCAAAGCAGAAGATGGAGAAAGTGGATTTGTTTTGAGGCCATTTTCCACTGGAGTTCCTAAGAACAGATATCAGGGGGGAAGGATATTTGTTGCTTGGAAGGATAATTATTATCTTTAATTATCTATTCAAACTAATCTTCATCTGTGCATGAGTGTCAAAAAACAGAAACTAAATAGGAACTAAAGATGTGCCCGTCATATAATTAATTGATGCTTAATTAATGCTTATTGATTGATTGATAGAAGTATGATTATCAAAGAAATCTTTTTATGATTGGAAAGAGACTAGCGCAATGTTTGATGGAAAGGCAGGGCCAAAGAGCAGAAGGTCAAGAGGGACGCCTTTGGATCTTTTCTTTGGGTCTACCCCATGAACCATCCTTAGCTTTTGCCAGTGGAACAATTTGTTTCTATTTTGTTGCTGTCTCAAGGCACTCTAGCTATCCTGTGGCTGACTCTTAAAACTTCACCACTTTCTTGCTCTACTTTGCAGAGAGAAGTGGTAGAAAAATGGGACTAACCTGTGGTTGTTTGGTGAAGTTCCCATGATTGGCTGCATTAAGTAACCCAGGTCCTATTCTACTCTATCTCTACCCTGTCTCTACTCTGGTTCCTTATCTTTACTTTGCTTCATTAGAGCAGGGGAAAAATCCTACTTGGTCACCTGGGAAATAACTCGTGCTATGCCTAATTGGGAATAAAGCAATCAGTTAACCACATTTTGCTGTTCTTACGGGAACACTTAAGGCCTTGTCTATATCAGAACCAACACCCAAAGAAAAGGTTAATAGCAGATGTACTAATTGAGGATGGAAGTCTCTTGACACAGAACTCAGTGGAAAGGTTTATGGTGCTCAAACACCCTACATCAGCAGCCAGAGGAGAATACAAGTGACATACACATTATTGAAAAGAACAGCAACTCACTACTCTGCAGGAGTGAAATAAAGTTAAATCTTGATCATCTGACCTCTGGTTAATCCACTGTGATCTTCTCCCAACACCATTTGCCTTGTTTTCTAGCAAATTTCAGAATGTTCAGACTCAGCTGAGACCCAAATGCCTTTTATTAACAGACCCTGTCCAGCTGAGGGATGTATGTCTTCACTCCCCTTCATGAAGACCAGAAACCTTCCTGGAGACAGGAGACTTTTTATGAGTGTGAGTAAATGAATGAGGAAAATGAGAGTGAGTAAATGAGCATATGGTAGTATACTTAAAGTTTTACCAGGACCTAAAGATCCAAATCTAGTAGCAAGTGAAGAATGGGAGGGTTTTATTATTTGTTGTTACAATTGGGATCCTCAGGAAACAAAAGAATCTTCTCTGTGTCTGTCAGTCCTTCACTATAATAATGTTTCTAACCATAGAAGAAAGAAGAAAAGTCGGAAATGGAGGACGATAGATTTAGACCTTAGTGGGGGACACTTAGTGAATGACATACCATGATCAATGATAAAATATAATACTTGTAACCTCTCCTCTGACTGTACTATCTCAGATCCCCCCTACGCTGGCAGTTGGGGCCTCAGAGTGTGGCTGACACTCCTATTTCCCTCAGAGTTCTAGGAATAACTTCAGTTATTGCCACTTACAAGCTCTCATCTCGTGTGGTCCCACTGGATTATCAAACAACCAAACTTAATTAATTATTAAGTGGCAGTATTCAACAAGCAGACATAGCAAGGGCAGTTATAGAAATCTCTGCCTCCTCCTTCCCGGCCCCCACCTCCTAAATGAGAAGCACACTCTTTCCTTGTGTACACAATGTCACTGAGGAGGTGGGCTCAGCCTTAAGGAGTTCATGTGGCAAAAAGGTAAGTTCGTAGTTCTGGGCTATTAGAAGTCCTCTTCTTTCTTGGTCCTCACAAAAGAGCCCCTTAGTTGTAGCTCTCATCTAGGCAGTAAAAGTCAGTGCCCTGGGAGAATTCTGAAGCTGCTTTTCCTGGGTGTTTCTGGTTTTATCTCAGCTCCAAATGCAGATATTACCATCATTTGCTGCCACTGGTTTTGCCAGAAAGACAATGGGAATGGGGAATCACAGATCTTCCAACCTTTGGAAAGCTTACCCTACCTTCTTTTCTTCATAATCACCTGCAATTTCCCAGCAAGTTATAGTCAGGGTGTTTCTGCTGTCATGTTCTATATGCTTACAGGCAGATAAGACACAGTCATTTACTTCAGGGAATAAATGTTCACAACGAATTGCATAGTCTGAGTGTGAGTGTGTGTGTGTGTGTGTGTGTGTGTGTGTGTTGAAATGTAGCACTCCCTCTGGGCTGACTTCTTCTCACTTGCTTCCCTCTTTATAGACGTGCAAGGTTCTGCCTCCTCAAGGTGTCCCCAAGTGCAGAAGCTTCCAAAGACTTACCCCAGGTTGTAAATAGCAAAGCCAGGGTTTGATTCTCTAACTAGTATCTCAGTACCCTCATTCATATTATTTGATTGCAAGTTATTCATTGGAATAAAAAGTGGAAGCATAATTACTTTAAATGGATAAATAAAGTATTACTTTTGAGGGAAATAGTGACATTTTCAGAATCAAATTTCCTTTGATACTTCAATTGGTCTCATTGATATAGGTGCTCCTGCCATTGGCATGGGTCATAATCCCCCCACACCTTCTCCTCCTGTTTAATTTTGATCTGTTTCCTTCCTGAAATCTTCTGGATTGTGCATGCTCCTCTCCAAAATTAATCTTTCTTTGGTTCCTAGGTCCTCATCCATAGCTTGTTCTCAAGAATCTCCAAATAGACTCATGATTGAATTTGCCCAGATGTAGGTGATAGGGAATCCAGCTCCCATAAGCACACTCAAGGAAACAAATGTATAGCAGACAGTAGGTAGCTTTATTTTCCTTCACAGAAAAATTCAGGAAGCACAATGGAATGACCAGAAGGACGTAAAGAGATAAAGAAAAGGAGTAAAGTCTCACAGTTTTTCCCCTCACAGAAGAAATAGAATTGAGATCACCAACAGGACAAGCCCTTGAAATTCTGGTGAAATCCCTCCCTTTGACAGGGTCCAAGACAGTCCCCTTAAAGACTCAGACTTCCCTTCCAATTCTCAAATTTTATATTATATCATATAATATATATATAATATTATGTATATATATGTATATAAAATTTGTGATTGTATAATTTGTAGTGCCACCTAGGCACAGCTAGGGCACAGAGAGAGTGCCAGGCCTGGAGTCAGGAAGACTCATCTTCCTAACTTCAAATCTGGCTTCGGACACTTGCTAGCTGTGTGACCCTGGGCAAGTCACTTCACCCTGTTTGTTTCAGTGTCCTCATCTGTAAAATGAGCTGGAGAAGGCAATGGCCGACCATACCAGTAACTTTCCCCTTGAAGGGAAGGAAGGATGTCTTGGACATTTATGAACTCCTGTGTACCTCTTGTGAATTTTTTGAAGAGGTATTTGGGGTGTGTGAAAAGGCTGTCTTGTATACAAGAAAGATTGTTAGTTTGATTGTTAGCCTGAATGCAAGTGTAAGAGAGCCGAGCACCCTTTGACTCATGTACATAGAAAACTAGACACAAGCTATACCTTGATATTTCCGGGGTAGAACTGGGGTGGGGTAGGGGTGGGGCAAAACAAACAAGAATTGGAAGTCCTCAGGAGAAACTCTTAATTAACCAAATTAACCAAATACAGAATTAATCAGAGAGAGAGTTCTATGAGAAGCTTCCAAGAATGAATTCAGCACATTTAAATTCCGAGTTTGGGATGGAATGGGGCAGGGTCTGGGATACAGGCTATGCAATTAGTTGTGATCACTCATTCCCTGAAGTAAATGACTGTGTCTTATCCGCCTGTGAGCATATAGAATATGACAGCAGAAATACCCTGACTATAACTTGCTGGGAAATTGCAGGCGATTATGAAGAAAAGAAGGTGGGGTAAGCTTTCTAAAATGAGCATAGGCATTAATCCCCTGAGGAATGTTCATGAGGCCATTGGCACCAACCAGCTCTTTTACTGGGGCCTGACAGAGGAACTCTTGCCAATTCCTCTTGGGGAGACAGGAAGGTGGGGGGCCCACAGTTTCTAATGTGAGCAGAAACAGATGGAGCAGACATTGTTTTTCTTGTGGAAAATTATTCTCTGTGGTAAAGAGACTTCTCATGTGTGTAATACCTCAGTGTTCTATTCACCTCTGCATGAACACAGACAACTTGCAGTCTATAGGCTAACGACGTGTGACACCTAAACCCTTCACGTATCTCCAAAGAGCTATTTGAGTCATGAAAGTAGCCAGATCTTGGACCAGCTCCTACAGTGGGTAGAGATGAATGGACCATGAGCTTTCAATGATCTCAAACACAGTACTTCAAGGCTGATCTCATCATCTTCCCCTTTAAACTGGCTCTTCCTCCAATCTCCCTTATTTCTGCTGAGGGTTTCCATGTTATCCCCGCAAACCATTCCTGACTCATCATTCACCAGCACCCGCCATATTCATTTGGTTGCCGAATCTTGTCTGCTCTACTTCCACATCTTTCAATTCCATCCTTGTCTTTTCATTCACATGAGCAAGACCCTGACTCAGGCTCTCATGGTCTTTCCACTGGATTATTGCGACCCCCCCCTTCCCCCCAATCAGTCTGCTTGCTTTCTGCCTTCTTCCCCTCTACAACCCATCCTTCATATAGTTGCCAAAAACATCTTCCTAAGGCACAGGTCTGACCACCTCAGCTGTTCTGGCTGAGCTTGACTCAGGCCAGGCCCTGGAAGTTTTGATTCAACATGAGAACAAGACAAGACACTTTAAAGTCATTCTGCCATTAACAAAAGGATTTTCTTAGCCATAGCAGGATAGTCAACAAGGATATGCATTGAGTTGATTCAGTTGAGGAAAGCTCCTTGGCCTAAGTAGCCCTTTGTTTTCCACCATCCAAGCATCAGGGAGCTCCTAATATGGCTGTCTTATACCAGGAACAGCTGAAGCCTTTAGTCCTCTGGGTTAATCAAGTCTCAGGGAGAGTTTCAGTAACTTTTAAGGGAAAACTAACCTACCTTGCATGGAGGACAAGAGTTAGGATTCTTCTAAGACCCCTAGGGGTGAGGTCCTTAAGGTACCCAGAGGATCTTCCATTACATAACTGCTGATCTAAGGTCCATTGTTGTCAACATTGACCTCAGACATTCAAAAAAATCCTGACACAGGTAGCACTGAAAGAGGAAAAGAAAAGCTAAAACAGAAACATGGAAGAAAAAAAAGCAAACTTAAACCAAACACACAATGTAACAGTTCCTTGAAGGAGTGACTGGATCTGGGAGAGTTCCAGATCTAAACAGTGTAAATCCAGGTCTAAATCCTGGGTGTAAACAATCAGGTCTGTGTGAGGTTGGTGCTGAATCTTCGCAGTTCCTGGTGGTCTTGCAATATAAACACTTGGACATAAGCTGGAGAAATACCAGGAACTGCAGGGCTTCACGGAAGCGATGCCCTTTCTTGCTTAGTCACTGATACTGATCTTCCTCATAAGTCAGGGAAATCTCCTCCGTATCACCACATCCTTCATGTTCCCTGGATCATGACACAGTATCTCTTCCTCCTCAGGAGATCTATGGGAGCAGGATGAAATGCAAGATCTTTGCTCCACAAGGGGCCTCTGAGGGACTTCTTGTCTTCTTCTGGGACTGCTAGTTAGACACTCTCACTTTCCTGTTGTGGCCAAAAAGCAAACCCCTTCCCAGCAACTTGTCCTTAAAGCCTTCCCTAGAGAGGAGCTGTGTGATGGTCACTGGGTATAGTAGCAGAAACCAAATGAAGAGGCAATCAGTGAGCAATGGCCTATTGTGAACAGGCCAGTGCCTGCTCTTTTGCCATGAGATCACTGTTGCCTGGAGCTGATCCTCTGTCAGCTGCCACTGAGGCCCTCATCTCTGCCCACTGTCCACCACTGTTGGCCACTGCTAGGGACCACATCTGCCCCTGATGCCCTTTGGCCACTGTTGCTGGGCCCTGAGTCTCTGCCAGCTGCCAGCTCTTCCAGGGTCAACTGCAACCCTCACCCCCATACCAGAACTCCTCTGCCTCATGCCAGGACAGAGTGCTGCTGACTATGATTGTGGGGGAAGTAGTGTGGCCTCTGGCAGGCCTGACACTGTACTTGGGCCTGAGCAGATGCTGTCCTCCTTCATTCCCCACCACTGCCCTCTGCCCTCTGCCTGGCCATGCTGGGGAAGAGACATAAAGACAAGAACCCGATAAAGCTAGAGACTCCTCCAAGTTTCCATATATACTCTAGTTCCCTTTTGTAAGAAGGTTCTGGGGTTTCTAGGGGTTGGTGACATGCTTCTGAAACTTGACTTCTGTGCACTTTAGACACCCTTCACTAGAAGCAGAGAAAGAGAAATATAGTTCACAGGTCACAGTTCTGGGGTGAGTGGAGACATTTATAAATTGATGTAGCACCCTTACCTGCCCTTGGCTAATTAAATAAGATACCATTGGCACACTGGTTCATATCCCTGATTCCAGAAATGTCTGTGCTCCTGAGAAAAATTTAGCATTGTCCTTTCAAGTGTCTCCCCTATTTGCTCGCAACAAAGGGTTACAACAAAATCCATATAGCAAAATTATGGATTATCTCTCAAATTCCAAATAAAAATACAGACATAACTCAGTATCTTTATTACAGTTATTAAATAATCCTAAAATGTCAGGGATGTGCCTTGTTTTGTACTCTCTCACTGTGGGTTCCTTCATGTCTTCCATGGTTGGTAATTTTGAATCATCCTGTCCAAAAATCCATTCCGAACCAAATAGTTTACACAAATATGGCTTCTTTCCTCAAAGCCAAT